CTTCAATAAACAGAGACTTTCCTTTTTCATTTTTTAAAAATATGTTTTTATTGATTTCAGAGAGAAAGGGAAAGGGAGAAAGATAGAATTATCAATGATGAAGGAGAATCATTGATTGGCTGCCTGTGCACTCGCCCTACTGGGGATCGAGCCTGCAACCCGGGCCTGTGCCCTTGACCAGAATTGAACCCAGGACCCTCAGTCCACAGGCCAGAGCTGTATCCACTGAGCCAAACCAGCTAGGGCAAGGGAGACTTTCTTGATGATCAGAGGTGTTTAGTATTGCTGCTATTAAAAAAGCCATTTATTTCCTTGTGTGGACCTGGCTTTCTCCTGAGCATGGTTATAAAGACTATTAAACACACAAACTCTTCTCTAAAATTCTATTATAATATTAGCTTTTCTCTTATCCCCTCCCCTCCACATGGCAAGCAACTTTTCTCTGATAAATTTCTATGATAAGAATGGCTTTATCGATTCTGACAAACAGTTCAGATTCCAAATTCCACAGCCACGTTTCTCCCACTGAACTGCTCTTGGGCAATTCTAAGTCCTCCTCCTCGGAGCCTGCTTTTCTCTTTCTTGGTCCCCTTCATCCTTTCAAACCAAGTTCTCCTCTTTCTGGTCTTTGGGGCTTTGCAGGTCTCCAACTGAGGCCACCAGGCTGTAGCTGTGCCAACCGAGAGCCAGCAGCTCCCAGCAGATGGCTGGTGTTTAATTCCATCACAGTTGGATATAGAGAAGCCTTGAACAAATATGGGCAGACAACTTCTCATTCTCTTGGGAGAATGTGAAATGTATCTTTCTTCTTTAAAAAAATATATATTTTATTGATTTTTTTTACAGAGAAGAAGGGAGAGGGATAGAGAGTTAGAAACATCAATGAGAGAGAAACATTTATCAGCTGCCTCCTGCACATAACCAAGGTACATGCCCTTGACCAGAATCGAACCTGCGACCCTTCAGTCCATAGGCTGACATTCTATCCACTGAGCCAAACCAGTTAGGGCTCTTTCTTCTTCTTCTTCTTTTTTTTTTTTTTAATGTGTTTTTATTGATTTTGAGAGAGAGAGAGAGAGAGAGAGAGAGAGAGAGAGAGAGAGAGAGAGAGAGAGAGAGAGAGAGAGAGAGAGAGAGAAACATCTATGAGAGAGCTGTCTCCTGCAGGCCTTCTACTTGGGATTGAGCTCACAACCTCAGGAATTGAACCAGCGACTTCCTGGTGCTCAGGTTGCTGTTCAACCACTGAGACACACCAGCTTGGTGGTAGGATCTTTTTTAACCCCCATATCACAAAGACCTTATCTGGAAGGTCAAAGTCCAAAAGAGCTGTTAAAACAGAAGGAGATAATAAATGTTCTCTTCCTTTCTCTATTTCATCCACTACTGTTTCAAGGGAAGATGAAGTAATGGGAAGAAGGCTGTCCTTGACACTCTTTTTAGTTTATTTTTTATTTCTTTGTCCTTGATACTCTTTACGAAAATATGGTTATTGATTCCAGAGAGGAAGGGAGAGGAAGAGGGAGAGGGAGAGACAGAAACATCAATGCTGAGAGAGAATCATTGATCAGCTGCCTCCAGCACACCCGCTACTGGGGAATGAGTTTACAATCCGGGCATATGCCCCGATTGGGCGGTCCTTGATACTTTGTACAATACTGGACCATGTCTGTCTGCCCTTGGGTTCTTGGAGCAGTTTCCCCTAATGGAGGGGATGTGTTATTCAATGCTCCCCCAAAGTTAAAGCAGTGAGAGACAAAGCCCAATCATGTGGTTTTCTGCCTTCAGTATGCTGAGTCACTCTGGGATTGTCCGGATTCTGGGCAGCTATGGAACTAAAGGGTAAACTCGGGTCTAAGTAAGAATCTCTAGGTTCTGCTAATCACATTCTGCCAACCTGAAGGTTTTATGCAAGACAAGCCTAAACTCCCCCTACTCATTTTCGGGCAGATGAAATGAGGTGGTGGCACTCGCTGAGTGGGTTTTGAAGTATCCATGGGCTATCTGGAGGGACTAGAGTATTTTAGGGCTAATTTTGACTATGTGTGTGTGTGTTTGCTTCAACCCCATAGGTTTGCATTGGGCCCCATAACATCTTTTCCATGTTGACTTACCCTTGTGCCTTTTTATAGAACAGTTTCTCATTTCTATTCCTCGCAATTATCTCTGACCCATTATAAGAACAAGCAGTTTTCCTCCTAAAGAGGTCTCTATCCCACCTTCTTTGAAAACACAACAAAGGGTTGCTCTGCTTGGCAGGGTCTGTATAGGAGGCAGCCCTGATAAAGCTTGTCCTTCTAGCTTCTGCTCAGGGCCTAAGTCAGCACACCATCACATCCAAAGAACCTGTCACCCCAAAGGGCCTGGAAATCACCCCAGTGCTCTAGACGTGCCCTTTAGTCCCTGTGTTTGTTTGCTAGGATTAGCCTAACAAAGTTCAACAAACAAGTAGAGTGGCTTAAACAAGGAGGGTATATTGTCTCTGAATTCTGGAGGCCAGAAGTCTGAGATAAGGTGTGGGCAGGGCTGTGCTCCCTCTGAAGGCACCAGGAAGGATCTGTTCCAGGCCTCTTTCCCGCCTTCTGGTAGTTCCTTGGAATCTACTGTAATCTTCATGTGCGTTCTTTTTGTATATGTGTCTGACTGGTCAAGATTTCCCCTTATTGCCTTTCCCGGGCTCCTTCAACCTGCCTGTGTTTGAAAACGTTGTGATTTATTTTTTATTTTGGAAATAAATCCCTGTCTCCCAGTGGAGTTACTAGTTGCACAGCTTTGACATTCAAGCTATTATCTTCAAATCTGGTCAGCGAATGGTCAGCTAGAACCAAGAAGTTACTTTACACTTTCAAACACTGCCTTCTTTCTGCTTCTTTATGGCTTAGGGTACCCTGTTTCCCTGTTTTTAACTCATTGTTCTCCCATCCGGCACAGTTTTTATGAAAGCAAATACCATGTCTGGCCTGGTTTGGATGATAGCTGTGGGAAGGACATAAACTAAATACTTACAAATCAAGGGAAGGAAGGGAGAGAATGGAAATTCACCAGGAATCTGCTACCCACCTGATGTTTTTTATTCTTGTGTCATTGAACTCTCTGCTCGCCTATGCGATAAACACACTTTGAGCTAGCTAGTTTGGTGATAAGGAAATGGAGGCTCAGGGAAGCATAGGCCACACAGCTGGTGCACGTGGGAGGCAGGATTGAACTCAGTTCAAGACATGTGCCTCCTGCTCTTGGCTTTTCACAGCCGTTCAAGCACAGTCGCAAACCCAGGTTTGTTCTCTCTCCTGGGCTAGAATTGTGTATCTGGCAACTGCTCCATAATGTCTGCTAAATAATCAAGTGGTCTTTCTGATTTTCTCCTTTGAATAAAATGACCACAAGTTCCAGCAGAAGCAAAATAAGTCATTGTAATTTGGCCAGGAGAGTGGGGTAGAGTGGATCAAGGCAGAGAGCTTGATGGGGGACCTCAGGCTGCCGCCCCTGTCTGGTGGAGCTTGATGAGGGACATGAGGCCTCGCCCCCCCGCCATGCAGAGCTTGATGGGGGACTACACACTGCACATTACACCTGATGCCAGGCCAGGGGAATCTCAGGTTGTGCCCCCCACCCCGGCACCGGGCCAGGCGACCTGAGGCTGCGTCCCCCCTCCCCCCCACCCAGCAGGGCTTGATAGGGATGGATCCGGTCGAGTCTGGATCTTGCCCAATGGGGGTGGCGCCGGCTGGGTTCAAGGCGCACATGGGTAGGCAGGGACTTGACTCTGGTTCCCATGGAGCGCCCCAGACTCTCACACGAGAAAGATTTTCATATACATTTTACTAATTTTCTTTTATCTCTGACACTTCTATTATAGAGAAAGAGCAAATAGCAATATTAAAATATTTCCTCTAATTCATTCCCTGTTAATGTACACAAATTTCATGCACCAGCTCACTAGTAAGAATATATATTTTAATAATGAGTATAATATTAATGTTGGTGAAGGTTCCCAATAGTATACATAAAGGATCTTGCATATAGTAGGATTTCACCAAAATGAAAGCCACTGTTATTCTATTGGCAGAGACAATAAGAATAAGTAGGGGCCGCATCACTTGGAGGCCTGCACGCCCCACAACTGAGGATTGAGCCTGCAACCTGGTCAGGAATTGAACTGTGGTCTCCTGGTTCCTGGGTCAATGCTCACCCTCTGAGCTATGCCAGCCTGGGAATGGAACTTGAGCTTCTTGATGAGAAGAATGAAGGGGAATAATATCACAATCAACAAAACAGCTAACCCTATGTGCTAAGCACCCTCTCAAGTGCTTTTGGTGAATTAACTCACTTAAATTCAAACAGCCTGCAGGACTTACACTAGCCCAGAGCCACCTGCCTATATTCTGGCCTGTCACACGGCCAGGAAGGGGAGGAGGCAGAGTTTGAACTCAGGCTCTAAGCTTTGTTGATTAACCACAATGCTCTGCAGTTACTGTGTTCCCATAGTGGCTTGCAGTGGGGAACAGGTGGGGAGCCGGTATGTATAGGAATAATAATAACCTAAAGTCTGCAAAGGTTCAGTGGTTGATGGCTAAAGGAAGGATTCGTTAGGTAGGATAGATTCGAGCTCGTCTCATGCTTCATTTCTCTCTCTCTCTCTGTCTTTCTCTCTCTCTCTCTCTCTCTCTCTGTCTTTCTCTCTCTCTCTCTCTCTCTCTGTCTCTGTCTCTCTCTCTCTCTCTCTCTCACACACACACACACAAATATACACACACATACACACACTATTGCAGTCTCTTCTCAGCCCCCTACTCAAATGCCAATCTCTTCTAAAAGTTGCATCATTGGGAAAGTCCCAGCAACCAGCTTCCCTGTGCAATAGCATCCGGGGAATGTGCCCAAATGCCACACTGGGTATCTTACCTTAAGCAGTTGCTTTCTCCACAGAGGGTGCCCAGGAAGCAGACACTGAGACAGGCTCCCCCTCAGGTGGCCCAGCGGGACCCGTGTGCCGAGAGGGCCGGAGCCCCTTGGGAAACTGCTTGTCCGGAATGTCCTGTGCTCTCTCCCCACGATCCCTCGGCCAGCCTCACACCACCGTGCTTTTCTTCTCTAGGGGAGCGGGGTTTCCAAAATGAAGGTCAGGCCCCCTGGCCCAGGGGCCCCCAGGCGCGCTCTGCTGCATCACCACCAAGCGGATGGAGGGCTGGCCGTCCAGCGGGGCCTCGGGCGCGGCCTCCTTGCTGGGGTCCTTGCCTCGGCAGTCGTACAGCGCGCAGGAGACGAGGAACACCAGGAGCAAGATGACGTAGCTCACCACCAGGATGATCAGGTTCAGGGTGACGGGGTCGACCTCCAGGTAAAACCCCATGGCGTCTCTTGCAGTTGGGGAGTGAGTCTAGAGAAAGGCTGCAGGGCCAGTCTCTTTGCAGGAAATGAACCCTAGTTGATTGGAATAGCGATGTTGGCTCTGGGGTAAAAATACATTAATCCCCCGGGCTCCCGGAAACCTCCCAGATAAAAGCTGCTCGGTTTAATAACTTAAGCTCTGGCTGTTAATACCATGGCCACGGAGACACAGATGCTGTCTCTTTCCAGTTCAGCCGTGCCGAGAAAGAGAGGAGAAGAGGGGACCCAAGGGTCACCAGAGCCTGGTGTCCATACAGTTTACCCTCCAAACAGGCAGCGTGGTGGGCAAGGCGAGTGCTGTTAATAAGCACACTATTCAAAGGTTGGATTGCCCTGGGAAAACTGTGAAGTGCGGCCACCTTTTATACAGGGAGGTTTCAATGCCACCTTTCCTCTGTACATGGAGTGACTGGGCGATCAGCACATGGGCTTTGGGAAAAAAGTGAGTTTCTTTAATAGGAGGAGCACACTCAGGGTCTGGTGTTTTTCACTCATCCATTATTTGTTGGCTTTTAAAATTCATTAATTCAGCACTGCCTGGTTTGGCTCAGTGGATAGAGCATTGGCCTGTAGACTGAAGGGTCCTGGGTTTGATTCCGGTCAAGGGCACCTCGGTTGCAGGCTCAATCCCTGGGCCGGGTCAGGGCAACTAATGTATGAGAGGCAACTAATCGATGTGTCTCTCTCACATCGATGTTTCTTTCTTTCTTCTCCACCCCTCCCTCTCTTTTTAAAAATTAATGGGAAAATATCCTTGGGTGAGAATGAACACAATGACAAAATATTTAAATTCATTAATGCAAAATACTTTTTGAGCTCTTCCCATGTTCCAGGCACCTTGCTAAGCAATAATAAGAGAAGCATTTAGTCCATCATGGAAGATAGATATTAAACAAATAATCACACCATTTAAGAACAGTGAGCATAACATGTATAAAGAACAAGGAGAGGGGAACAGAAGAGTGTTGCCCAAGGCAGGTCAGAGAAAGCTTCCAGGAGGAAGAGATGTGTAACCTCTGACCTGGACAGGCAGGAGGTAGCCAGGTGAGGACAGGCAGGGAAGATTCTTCTAGCCACAGGAACAGCGTTTGTGAGAGATCCGAAAAGAAAGAAGCCTGGAGAATTAGGGGAAATGAAACAAGGTCAATGTGGCAGGAGTATAAAGAATGAGGAACTGAGGGGAGAGAGGTAGGCAGGGTCAGATCGTACCAAGGACTTCGCTCTTGATCATGAAGCAGTGGGGGGCCATTGCATCAAGTGATGCAGGGGAGTGATGCAATCAGATTTGCATTTTATTCATTTATTTGTATAAATCTTAGCTGAGCTTGTGTTTAAAAAAATATGTTCTGATTGATTTTTAGAGAAAGAAGAAGGGAGAGGATAGAAGTAGAAACAACGATGTGAGAGAAACATCACTGATCGGCTGCCTCCTACACATCCCCTAATGGGGATCAAGCCCACAACCCGGGCATGGGCCCTGACAGGGAATCAAACCCTGGTTCATGGGTGGACACTCAACCACTGAGCCACCCCTGAGGGCGGATTTGCATTTTAAAGAGATCGCCTTGGCCACTGTATAAAGGTGGGAAAAATAAGCTGATTGAAAATAAAAACACAGATGTTCCTTGATTTATAAGTCATCATCCCCCCTCAGCTGTAGTCCTGGCCCAATAGTTCTGGATGGAGCCAAGGTCATGGCAGGACTCTGTGCTCAGAAGGGCCCCACACTTGGGTGAAGGCTCTGCTGTCACCATCCTGCAGTTTTTCAGAATTGCTTATTTTGCACTGGCCTCACCAATTACGCATCTGGCCTTGGTCTCATCTATGCATTGTGGTCAGACAGGGCCATTTCCCCAAGAGCTAATGGGGTTCTTTGGTTAAAGGCCAACACTCGCAGAGGTCTGTCAGTTTCTTATCCCCATTAAGCCCAGCAGCTGAAGGCCAGCTTCCTTGGGAGCCCAGTGCTCGGGGATGCTGCAGAAAGGAGTTCTTATTGATCTGGAGGCCTTTTCCAAAGAATAGATTCCATGATTCTATGGTTCTGGACTGACCTGCGCAATTACACTTAAGAAGATGAATGGTTCCCAAACACCCCAGGAATCGGGCCAACCTCATTGGAATCCATTGGACTTCTTAGGAAGACAGATTCCCAAATCCACCCAAGATCGATTGAATTAGAATTCGAGGGATGGGCTTATGGGAAGCTGCACTGGATCGTTATGATACGCACGTAGGATGGAGAGCCATGGCATTAGAAGTGGGTAAGAAGGATGTGTAGAAAACAGGCCACCAGAACCTGGGCTGGCTGCCAAGAGATGTCCTGGAAGGCATTCAACACAGAATTCAACACAGAATTCAACCCATCTGCGTTCTGAGTCCAGTGGTTCATTGGTTCACTTTGTCAAGATGAATCGTTTTCCTGGTGGCAATTCACATTTACCAAACTCCTGGGAGACTAGGAGTTTGGTAAATACACTAGAACAGAATACCAGTGTATTAAGTTACAGTGAAAAAATACAGCCATCACAGGTCAGGAGGGCCTAGACTGAAATGAGCACAGCTTCTCCTCCCTGGAGGCAGATCTGTCCAGTCTGTTTATAATCATCCGGCTTCTTGGCGAACATAGGATCTCAGTGAGTGGACTTGTCGGGTGCTTTTCGCACTGAGCTCCCGGGTCCCAGCAAGGCTTTCGGAGGCAGCATGGTGTACCAGTTCACTACTTCCTGTGGCCCACCCTGAACTCTGGCTTCTCGACTTCTACCATCAGCTGATGGCTGTACGGCACAGGCTCTTCCGTGTCACAGTAATTTAGGAAAGTTCTCCAACGGCTATAAATAGATGCCACAAGGATTTGTGAAAATTGCCTGCGTACACTTGAAACGAAACTGAAGTATAAGTGCAGCAGCTCTGCTCTGTCAGGGAGAGCTTTCACATTGGTTCCAGGTTTCTGGGGGCAACAGCCTGAACCCTCCCTCCTGGTGGTTGGTCCGGTCTGGCCTTGTCTCCTCTCACATTGTCTCAGTTCAGCTGACTCCCTCCCAGCTGCCCCAGCATATCTTGTTCCAGGCTCTTATTTGGAACCGTATCTTATTACTATCTGCAGAGGGGTGTTTTGCTTGGTTTGTTGTTGTTTTTTTGGTCTTTGTATCTACCAGTGCTCAAAGATTAATTTAAGTTGAGCCTTGTGGAGGCTTGGCTTCCTTTCAGTGTGGCTGGTGAAATGTTGGCTATTTGTTTTGCTTCATTACCCCCAGGAGGGCTGCTTTGCACCCCACGTGCCTACCTCTCCACAGCATCTTTCCTTTTTTCCGTCTTTCATGAACTTTCCTCTTGTGCCATCTAGTGGCCAAAGCGGAGATTGTTAAAAAACAAAACAACAAAAACAAGAACAAAACTTGGGCAACAAATCAGGGCAGTCATTTCGAATTGGCGGGTGAGGGAGACACGGGTAAGAACAAGCCACATTTCTGAACTGGAATAGGTAGTCAGGGCATAGTCATGCCTCCATTCATTCACACTTTATATTGTGCACCCATCATATGCTGGCAGGAGCAAGGGGCATTGGAGCTTGGGGATGGGATCCATACCGAAACTGCGTCACATGCCCAAGGTTAGCACCAATGGAAAGAGGAGTGATCAGCCCCATCACAGGCGTGAGGAAAGTGAAATTCAGAGAGGGGATGGAATTCTAATTCTCTTGTTCTCACTCTTTCTCCCTCTCACCTGCCCATCTCTCTTTTCTACTGACTGAAATATAAATTAAATGACTACAGAGATATTTAATTTATTGAATGCCCTATGCTATGTGCTCTTGGGCATTCAAAACCCAATCAGGCCCTGGCCCATTTGGCTCATTGGTTAGAGCACCCACAGACTTAGGTCTCGGTCAGAGGGCACATTCCTTGCATTGCAGGTTCATCCATGCCCCAGTTGGGGTGAGTGTGGGAGGCAACCAATAGATGTGTCTCTCTCACATTGATATTTCTCTTGCTCTTTCTCTTGGATTAGATAAAACTGAGATGCTGTGGAGACAGTGGATTTCTGGGTCTGGGTCTGGCTCTTAGCAGGAAGATCAGTGTTGCAGCGCAGATTTTGAAGCTGCCACTACAGAGGTGTATTCAGTCATGGAACTGGGTGAGATGACATGGGGAGGAAGTACAGATCAGGAGGAGAAGAGGGCTAAGCACAGGGCCCAGACTTCTCCAATATTTGGAGGTTGAACAGAGAAGAAGGAGCCAACAAATGAGGCAGAGGAAGAACGGCCAGGGAGGCAAGAGGGAAAACGGGCACATGGTATTGTAGACATCTGGGGAGAGAGGGTTTAAAAAAGGAAGTGGCCAGCTGGGTTAAAGGCTGCTAGGTGATAGGGTCACAGGGGAATAGAGGACTGGCCAAGAGTTTTGAGACCTTGATGAAAACAGGAGTTTTTCATGGAGGGGTGCAGGGTAAAAGCAACTCAAAAATTAGAATAAGAAAAGAATGGAAGGTAAAAAAAAAAAGGTAGAGATGGTGAGCATGGGTAACTTGGAGGAGTTTGGCTGTGACAGACTGAAGAGCAATGCAGAGTAGCTGGAGGGCAGCATGGGAGCGAAAGATAGTATTTTTGGTTTTTTTTTTTATGAGTGATATGGAGACATGTATGTCAGCCAAAGGGAACACTCCATTTAAGGAAGGGCGAGTGATAACCGAAGAGAAAAAGAAAAACTGCAGCACAAATTCCTTGAGCAAGGATGAGACCCAGGAGAAACGTGGAAGGAAGGGTCCCAGCTAGGAGCAGGGACATGTCTTCCCTTGTGTCAGGAGAGAACAGAAAGTTCATGGGCATAGAGCAGCTTTGGTGGTAGGAAGATGAGGTTGGCTTCATCTGATTCCTGACTTGCTTTTTCCCCCCATTCAGGGATGAGTCAAAGTCATTAGCGGTGACCAAGGGACAGAAATGTGTGGTGTATTAGAAATGAGAAAGCATTTGAAGTATTTCCTTTGGGGAAAGAGAAACAAATGTCCTGGAGACCTAGGACAGGATTCGTGCCCACCGGAGAGACTATCCTGGATTATCTGGGTGAGTTCAGAATGTAATCGCATCTGTCCTTATCAGACGGAGGCAAAGAGATTGTACACTCACAGAGAAGGCCACGTGAAGAGAGAGCAGAGACGTGTGAAGATGCTGGCTTTGAAGATGGGAGGGATGTGACCACAAGCCAAGGACTCCTGGGCCGGCTCCAAACAGTGAGAGACAAGGAAGAGACTCTCCCCTGGCATCTCTGGGCAGAGGAAGCCTGCCAACGCCTCGATGTGGAACGGTGAGAGAATAAACCTGTTCTGTTTCCAGTCACGACGTTAGTGTTCACTTGTTACAGCCGCCACAGGAAACGAACATGCATCCTCA